CAGGAAATTGGTCAGTAAGCTTTTTTGTAAACACTAAAAAAGGACACCAGAAATTAAAAGCTTTTGAGAAATAGAAATAAATCATAATGTATAATGCATGGGCCTTTAAAACTAATAAGCATTTCTTCCCTGTCAGTATAGGTTTCAAGACATATATGGTTCCAACTTTTGATAACAGAATACTTCAGATTTATATTTACACTATAAAAAAAATGAAAACAGATTTATATTTACACTAAAATAAAATTAAAAGGCAAATTATTACTGTTCATTATATATTTACTTTTTATTAGATGTTTTTGTTTTTCAGTGTATTTATGGATCATATGTTCACTCAGCAATTCTCCCCACATTTCACAGGCGCTGTTATTGGCTACTACAGGTAAGAAAATTACTGTTTGCTATATATCTTACCACGGTTTATACCTTAAATGGACTTGTCTAATTTTCTTAAATATGAACTAAACCATTCATCATTGGTAGTGCAAATTGGTAGTGTAAATATATGTATGTAGTGACTAAACAGTGAACAGTGCAGACTTTGTTAGTGCCAGCAGAAAACACTTATTCACTATAACTGTACTTATAACCAAAAAGCAATAGATGATAGATATGGTTCTGGTAATTGGCAAATGAGTAACTTTTTGGTCACTATAAAATGTACACCAAAATTAAAAAAGCTTTGAAAAATAAAAATAAAAGTATTTGTTAGGCATACTAAGCCTTTGATGATATAATTTATCCACCTTGTGGCCTATGGGGATGAGTAGTTAAGGTCGTTGACTTTGGACAGCTTGCCCCTCACAGCTTTTAGTTTAAATAGTAAGTGTAGAAAATCACCAAATAAAGTTAACAGTGTTGATGTGCCTTAAAAGCTGACATAGAATAAAACAACAACAAAAGAACCACAACATTCATCTATTCTAAAATACATAACACCTGTCCATTTTGGTAAGAAAGTTATATTAGCTTTGGTGCATTTAATCATATTAGTCCAAATTTTCGGGTCCTTCTTAACTGTAAACGACTATAGACAATACAGAAAGTTTTTACAGCTGAGGCTGACTTCTTCACAAATAATCAGTTTAGAGTTATGTCTGCTAGGACGTGGCTGTGTTCTTCATGTACACTATCACCAGAAACACTTATTACAACCATATTTGGCATGATGTCAAAATTGACCATGCCTATTTGAAAACTCATTTCATACGTAATAAACATTGATGTGGAAAGTTTTTGTCAATTCAGCCAAATTGTCTGCAAGGTTTGCAATAAATTCACATTAAAAATTTCCCGAGAGGATTTTAAAAGAGAATGTAATAGTAACAATGGAACCATTATTAATTTTTTCCGGCATTGCGTTTATTTATTGGTATCAATAATGTATATTTCATGAGGATAGGTGATGAAACATTCCGATATCTTTTAATATTATGTACTAACTTAGTGATGATTAAGCATCAAAATGATTTATAAACTGTCCCATCAGTGGTGTTGTAGATATTCATATCAAAATATTAACCCTTTAGCAGGAAATAGTTGTGTCAGTGGTTTAGTGGTTTAGGTGTCTTTTCTAAACTCGGGGATCATGGGTTCAGTCTTACTAAGGTCAAAACCATAACTGACTAATTGATTTACTGGTTAACTAACTGATTAACTAACTGATAAATAACTGATCAACTACAAACTGGTTAACTAATGGATTAACAAACTGATTAATTAATTGGTTAACTAACCAATGAATAAGTGATGAACCACTAACTGGTTAACAAATGGATTAACAAAATGGTTAATTAACTGGTTAACATGTGGAGGATAATTTGACTCTACAGCTTTGATATAGGCCTATTTTTATTGTTGATAAACTGCTGATTTGGCAGTATTTCATATCACAGATGCTGGTGTCAAATTGTGCAAAATATTCAAGCTTTTGTAAATATTAAAAGATGAGCATTTTAAAAGGTTTTCCCTCACTTTATTTACTGTCAAAATATTTTTTATTTAGAATATTAGTTGCGGAGGAGTTTTAATCTTGATAACAGCAAAATGGGACACATGAAAATATGTGTATTTTGTTAAAGTAAATATGCTAATGGAAATAAAGTGTCGCGTTACCACCATTTATTTGATGTTATACATTAAATTGAATAATTTAAATTTTAAAGTTGAATTTTTTTTTTCAATTTTATTTTCAATGGTATGGAAGCGGATATATATCATGTAACAATGACTAGCATTATAAATGCATTCAATACCATTAACAGAAGGCTATAATGGATTATTTCTGGTGCGTTTTAAATGCACAGAAAATGTAAAACCAATGTAGCTCGTTCATTTTATCAATAAATCTTGAAAAGCTGCATTAAATAACATTAAGGCCTTTTAAACATGTTTTTGTTTTTGTTTAAAAAGTAGAAATTGTTGTGTTCATTTTGAAAAGCAATATATTGGTTAGTTTAAAATTCACATTAAAAATTTCTTCTTTTTTTTCAAAATATACTTGAGCGAAATAATGATCAGATGTAATGCTTTTAAGCTAAAGTAGGAGCTACCATAAAAAGCATATTGCACTGATAATAAGAATGTTCTAGTTTGACCTTTTATTTTGCAGAAATTTCTTTTTTTTTTTTAAATATGTTTTGGTGGTTAATTTGATTTTGGGAAGAACATGTTATTTAATTCTTAGTTAAACTTTTTTAATATGGGAGTGGTTAATAAATGGTGATTGTTTATTCTGTAAGAATGATTTCATACGGCTTAAGAAAAATGCTTAAGAACGGCTAGAGTATTAATCTTTAGTAAAAGACTTGCCCTGTTGTAAAGTGGAACAGTCTGTTGAAAGCTGTAGGGATATTAGTATTAAAATACATGAATTGCTATGCAGACAGTATTAATAAAAAAAAAAAAAAAAAAAAAAAAAAATGGAAAAGAAAACAACAACATAAATACATAAATGTGGTAAAGTTCAGTGAAAAATGAGAATTTATATATTACAGAACCCAGATATAGTTTTAGTACATTATCTCAACGTCCCATACCCTAACAACACGAAGCTTAGCATTCCAGTGATGAATTTTGCCATGGAGAAAAAAGAATGGACCAAGGAGGAATTGGTGGAGCAGCTTAAACCAATGTGTTAGTATTTTATATATAAAACACCATACAAATAAACACCATTCAAAGAGTATATAAATAATACATGGCTTTGTGGGTAACAGTAAAAATAACTTCCCGAGGAAAATACTGTTACGCAAGGCTTTAGCAGTATTTTTACGAGGGGTGGTATTTTTACTGTTACTCAAAAACCCATTTGTTATCTATTTTATTAACCCGAACAATAACTGTGATGATTTTTGTGCCCCCACTATAGGGGGGGCATTAATAGATTTACACTTGTCCGTCCATCTGTCCGTCCATCCATTCTCTTTTTGTGTCGCACATAGCTCAAAAAGTATTTGACCTTTAGTCATGAAACCTTATAGAAATGTTGATCAGCATGTGTAGTTGTGCACCTGGGTATTTTTGTGTGGATGTATTTAGTATTTTTAAAGTAATTGCCCTTGACTTAGTAAAAATTTTCAAAATTCAACTTGTGTTGCAAGTAACTCAAAAGTATTTAACCTGTAGGCCTGAAAGTTTTCAAGAATGTTGGTCAGCATGTGTACTTATGCATAAGATTGACAAATCAGTGGAGTGTGGGGGCACCCGTGTCCTATGGACACATTTCTAGTTTATGATGATTTTATTAACCAGGTTTTCCGAAGGAAAAAACTGGTTATTAGATTGAGGTATGTCGGCGGGCGGGCGGGCGGACGGCGGGCGGGCGTAAAACAATTTCTTCTGTGCGCAACTCCTCCTACATTTCTCAACGGATTTTGACCAAACTTTCAACAGAAGCTTTGTCATCAAGTGCCCCTGGCGCATAATTGTCCCGGGGTTTTTGCGATTAGATAATATTTGACCTAATTATGGCCCTTTGTTCTTTTCCTATATAAAATATATAGTGAAACAATTTCTTCTGTGCGCAACTCCTCCTACATTTCTCAACGGATTTTGACCAAACTTTCTCAGAAGCTTTGTCATCAAGTGCCCTGACACATATTGCCAGGGTTTTGCAATGTATATATTTGACCTAATTATGGCCCTTTGTTTTTTTTTCCTTATATAGAATATATATAGTGAACAATTTCTTCTGTGCGCAACTCCTCCTACATTTCCAACGGATTTTGACCAACTTTCTCAGAAGCTTTGTCATCAAAGTGCCTGACACATATTGCCAGGGTTTTTGCAATTGGTATATATTTGACCTAATTATGGCCCTTTGTTTTTTTTCCTTATATAGAATATATAGTGAACAATTTCTTCTGTGGCGCAAACTCCTCCTACATTTCTCAACGGATTTTGACCAAAACTTTCTTAGAAGCTTTGTTATCAAGTTGCCTGGCACATATTGTCGGGGTTTTTGTGATTGGGATAATATTTGACCGCATTATGCCCTTTGTATATTTTTTTTCCTTATACAGATAATTTTTAATATATAGTGAAACAATTTCTACAGTGCGCAATTCTCCTAACATCTTCTCATTGGATTTGACCAAACTTTCACAGAAGCTTTGTCAATCAAGTGCCCTGGTGCTTCACTAAAGTTCCCATGTTTCTTCCAAGAACCATCATTCAAGTATTTTTTTTAAAATTGTGAACATACTTTTCTTGATATGGCACAAAACACGCACACGCTCAATATTGTTGTACCAAAAGAGAAATGACAAAGAGACGCAAAAATGCAAAATTAAAGCAAAAATAAAGTACTGTTTACCTTTCCTAAAACATTTGGGGAAAAAAAAGGCGAATAGACAACATAAAATTCTCAATCATTTTTGTTTGAGGAATATTAAAAAAGCCATAATTCCTCCTAAAAGTTCAATTAAAAACAAATGCCCCTTCATGACAAAGCTTCTGTGAAATATTTTGCTGAAAACCTGGTTGCATCGCATTGCGATGTTCCTTGTTTTATTTTATTTAGAACATAGACCATGTGACCAGATTTTATACTGTTTAATATACTATTACCGTTTAACAGTACAAATTTCTTAGTCACATGGTACACTTGCATTAACAGTATAAATAACTCCCAGTGGTCTATTGGAATTTAACATTACACAAAAAATGAGGGGTAATAAAATAAAGCTATAGCTAATGAAATATTTTTATAGAATTTTTATAGAATTTATAAATCATGAAATTATTTCATTTTGGCAAATTCATGGTTGATTCCCAAAAGAGTTGTAAAATACAATGTTATTTAACACACATGAATATTGTATGTAGACAGAATGAAATGTTCCAGAACAAAATATAATTCTGCTATTTTAAAGTAAGGTTTTACCAATTTAACAATGATTTTATGCAAATTCAATTCAAATTCAAATAGTTTATTTTCGTCTCATCACATGTAGAACAGATACATCACAATGAAAATGAATAAAACTGATAAAAGTACATACTGGGATCCTACATATTTACCGGACAATCAGTTTACCAGACAAAAGCTATTACTGCTGAATAGTGCTTTATCTTTTGCTTGATTCAAAAATCATACAGTAGGAATCGTACACACACTTTCTATTTCAAAGCAAATAACAACAAAACCACTCTCAGGCATATATTGTTTATCAGTTCTTTATCTACTAACATGCCCTTTTGTTTTATTGTTATTTCATGACCTTGTCATGCGGGGGAATAATCTGTTCTGCGCAGGCCCGAATATGGAGACCCTTAATGGGTTTTTAGATAGGTTTTACTTTTAATCTTTTCAACGTTACCTCAAGAGACAATCGTAACATATTTTAATGATAGAAAGTTATTTTAAATTTAGTCTTAACAGTATCTCGTTGTTTTTATCCCCCCACAATATGGGAGCATATAGCGTTGCACTTGTCCGTCCGTCCGTACGTCCCGAAATCTTGTGAACGCAACTCCTCTTAAACCGGATGGCATATTTTGGCTTAAACTTTCAGGGATGAACAACCTTAATGTGTAGATGGTAGTTAAGAAGGAATTTTTGCTGCGACCATAATATTTAAGAGAAATTATGGCCCTTTGTTGAATTTTTTTTCAACTTATATCATGTAGAAATTTGTGAACGGCCAACTCCTCTTAAACCGGATGGCCATATTTGCTTGTAAACCTTTCAGGGATGAAAAATCAAACCTTAATGTTGTAGATGGTAGTAAAAGGAAGGGAATTTTGTCTGCGACCAATTTAAACCAGAAATTATGGCCCTTTGTTGATTTTTTTTTACTAAATAAGCTATGTAAAAATTTTGTTTGAACGCAACTCCTCTTAATACCGGATTGCATATTTTGCTTAAAACTTACAGGGATAACAACGCATCAGGTTGTAGATGGTAGTAAGGAAGGAATTTTTGCTGCGACCAAAATTTTACAGAAATTATGGCCCTTTGTTGATTTTTTCAAACTCTATACTATGTAGAAAATTTTGTGAATGCAACTCCTCTTTAAACCAGATGGCAGATTTTGCTTAAACTTCCAGAGATTAACAACCTTAATGTGCAGATGGTAGTTAAGGAAGGAATTTTTGCTGCGACCAAATTTAACAGAATTATGGCCCTTTGTTGATTTTTAGTTTTCAACTTGTGGCACATGTAGTCCAAAAAATATTTGACCTAGAGTCATAAGATTGACAGAACAGTGGTGTGTGGGGGCATCCGTGTCCTATGGACACATTTCTAGTCTTTTACAAAGAAGTGTTAATTATAAAAAACATATAAGGAAACGGGTAACGCCCATGGGAGGAAATCTTACAAGAAATATAATAAAATGAATTTTATGGCTTTTGTAACATGCTACATGATGATCAAAAGGAAACTGTATGACAAGGAACAGAATTCCATTTCACACGTTTAAGGATCATTAAGAATCAATACGTTAAAGGGAAAGACAAGGTTAGAATAAAAACTTGATTTCAGAAAAAGAATACTATAAATAATAAATCTGCAAATTTTCTGCCGCCAAATAATAATATTAAACGAATGAAACAAAATTTAAATTCGCTAAAGTCACCGATTTCCTACAAATTAGTAAAGAGCGGCCATGGTTTGTGTATTGGCCGTTAATAAAAAAGGCTGGTCGCGTGATGTCATTTCCACCCACCATCTTTAGATTTATGATAAATCTAATTGAATTTTCGTAAGGGAAATTTAATATAATAAAGTATTGACCAGACTATTTAATTTTCACAGGAGGTGGTAGAGGAGATTTTTTTAATGGTTCAAAATAAAAGTAACAATATCCAAAAAAAAAAAAAAAATGTAAATAATAATGAAAAAATAAGAAGAAAAAAATCCGTCTGCTGGTCGCATCCACCCTCAGGCCAGTGATGCCGTCTACTTCCAAACGATGCTTAGATGTTCGTTAAAGTTTATTTAATGTAATTAAACAATATTTCACAGATTTTAATTATTTCTAATGTTATATGTAAGAAATTTTCAACAATTAAATAATGCAATTAAATAAGCAAACGCACCAAACGAATTAATTGGCGGTTAATTATTGATATCGGCCGATAATTAATCATTATTATAAAATCCTACTAAAACGTGTTCTAATAGTACATGTAATTAAATTTTTTGCAGTTTGATTCGACTTTCAAATTAAAAGGTGTGAACAAATTGGATAATTGAAGTACTAATTTCAAAAAATATAAGCAAACTCTTTTGAAAAGTAAATTGTAAATCATGTCTGTCAACGTATGATGCTGGGCATCGTAAATCGTAAGCCTAATATTAACTGCAGGCAAAACACTTTTATTGGCTGGCTCAAAAATCTAATTTGCATAATTTATTCACCAATTGGCTGGTTCTTACTACTTATGTCTAATACGTGTGCATTGTCCATTTTAATTTGTTCCTATTTGCAGCATAATGTTTCCTGTCAGCTGTGTACTGGACGATTTTATTACCCCTTTGTTGCTCTGTGCCGAACAGACCTTTTGATCATGCACAATGTTGCCCTGATTGGTTTAATCACCCTTGTCAAATATCTGATGACGAAATAGACATCTATTTTTTTTACGCTTGCATCAGTGAACTAAATGACCTAGGGGAAATTAGTTGCCACAACCTGTCAATATAATATGTAAAATTACAGCATGTTCATAAAATAGCAACACATTTTTTTCAGTTACCAAAATCATTTTAAATATTAAAAAGTAGATTTATGATTTTTTGGTTTTACTGGATTAAATTTACGTGTAGTAAAAAAAAAATGCATACCTGTGTTTGGAAAGGGATTGGGGTAAGTAGATAACGTACAGTTTGTTTTAATACGATATAAGTCTGGCTGCCGATTTTCCTGCGGCCATTCTCATAATTAGCGTCAATTGTGGAAAATCGCATCCTTAAGCAGATCTCTTGCATGTTGGATTTAGTTGATATTTTACGCTGAAAAAAAGATACAATGACCGGCGAATGTATCCTATTCGACAGCTTGGTCTAGCGAAAATAAGTACAAAAATAAAGGATATATCATCAATTTGAAGAAAGTTTCTCATACGTACCCAAATTAAATTGATGGTTTATCTTTGAAAATTAAGCAATCATTTGCTTATATCATCAAGCAAGCTTGAAAATCGGACAAATGATAATTAATGTCGCGGCGTCTTCATTAATTAATAAAACAATTCAGTTGCCATATGATGTTTTCATAAATAATTTATAATGTACGCAATAAGATTAATAAGTTCTTCCATCAAGATCATATTTCAGTTGTACCAGCGTGTACACCTATACAAGGAAGTGGGTGTAACACGTCACAATCTCGATCTCGTCTGTCTCGTGAGAATGACAGAACGCCAAAATGGCAGCGCCCATGAACTTTTTCTCAAGTAAAAAAATAGTGTCTTAAAACATGAATTTTTCACTTATAGGGTTGATGTCAACAGAAAAACTGTCATGGTACCTCTTTTTAAATGATGAATATTTATATTAGACAGACATCAATCCACCCATTCCTATTCCTTTAATTGAGTTAATAGTGTTAATTTCAATTACACCCTATATTATTGGCCTCTTCATAACAGGCATGACTGCCGTGTCTATTTCTAGTGACATACTGGGTTTTTAAATATCTTAACCTTGCCATTCTATAGTCGTAGTCTCCTGCTGATTATTTAAAGATTAATTTCAATTCACGACTTCAAAACTTTTTTAAACACAATGTCCGGTAAATTGAGTGGTTTACACAATTTTTTTCCTCTTATAATGCCCTACTTTAAAGACACATTTCTACGGTCAAATGTTTAATTTCATGTTTGATAAAGGAATATTTACGTGCATTAAGAACCCAAATTTAATTTGGGTAAAATTCCATTCTTTTTTATTATTTTAAATAAAAGTTACAGATCAAAAACTTTATATTTTGTCCGGTAATATGTAGGATCCCAGTATGCCATTCAATACAGAATTATATGAGACGTGTAAACAAAGCTTACATTCGTAATATTTTGAAAGTATTCTTATAAAATTTTGTTTCTTTTTGTGGCGAAAAACTATTAACATATTCCTGAAATATATAAGCCATGGAGGATTTACACTAATGATGGAGTTTTTTCCTTGATTGATGGAATCTTAATGAATAATGTATACAACAAATGATTTGAAAGAAACATAATTGATTCCATAGTACCCATTGACCTCAGGATGAGGTTGTATATTATTAAAGGTATATTACTTGTATATTTTAAGATATATTACTTGTATATTTTACTATATATTACTTGTATATCTTACGTTATATTACTTGTATATTTTACAGTATATTACTTGTATATTTTATGGTATTACTTACATATTTTATGGTATTACTTGTATATTTTACTGTACCTTACTTGCATATTTTACAGTATATTTCAGGGTTTGTATAATTTACTGTATATTTCATGTATATTTTATGGTATTACTTGTATATTTTATGGTATATTAATTGTATATTTTACATTATATTACTTGTATATTTTACAGTATATTTACAGTATATTACTTGTCTATTTTACAGTATATTATTTGTATATTTTTTTTTACTTGTGTATTTTACAGTATATTACGTGTGTATTTTACACTATTTTACTTGTGTATTTTACTCTATATTACTTGTGTATTATACACTATTTTACTTGGGTTTTTTACACTATATAACTTGTATATTTGATCCAGTAAGCTGGGAAAATTACCATATGACCGTAACATATGACTTTTACCCCACACAGAAAATTAAACAAAAACAAAATTAATGAAATGCAATGCTAACCATTCCCTTTTTGTGTTTGGTTTTATGTTCCCAACAACACAGTATAGGTCATATGGCGACTTTCCTGCTTTACAGGAAGACCTCAGATTTCCCTCTGTACATAATATTTCAAACACTAGCTGGCATCTTAGTAGTGCTAAATATATATATAAAAATCTACTTGATGAATAAATATTTTATTTTCAGTTTCCAGCATTGATGGGGAGTCTTTACCTGTGGTAAATTTGCAAACTTTTTATTATTTTTAGATCTTCCATTTGTTACATTATATAATATGTTTTTCTCTCCTTTCTTCAACATGTAATTTATATTATTATTATGATTTTGAAAACAGCTGTAATATGTTCTGAGGGGGAAAAACCTCTCAAATCTCATGAAATAAAGAATGCAAATAATTTAATGTGCCTGTTTGTATGATTATACAATTTCACATGTAATTAAGATCATTACAAAAACATAAGTAGATTTGAAATCCATTAGTGCAATAACTGATTAACTCCTATTAAATTTAGAAGGACTTATTCTGTTATTGCACTTAAAGGTGATGAATTATGTTAGAAATAGAGTGAGTAAGACACAATGCCTGACAGTTTTGTATACAAAGTTTCCAAGATTTTGATACTAATCAAAAACCATTATCAGTATTACAGTTTGTTGTGAGAATTGCAAAAAAAAAATTTAAAAAAATAATTTCAATTTAGGGATATTAAAAATAGTAGGGTTGTCACTATAAAAATGGGAACTGTTTAAATGGCGTCTTAATAACTGTGTAAAATGTTTAAACAACTGTATTAAAAGAATCTTAGATATTTAAGCATTAACTTTGTTTTTATGATAAGATACTCCTAAAAAAAGGACTTGACTTTCTTTTCTCAGCTGGTTTGTGGAAAGATGGTCATTTTACCAAGGTGTTTACATGTTGGACATTATACACAGATGGCCTCCTGGTGTATTACCCTGTTACCATCAAAATGATTAAAGTCTTAATACTCCCCCTGTGGCTGAGAGGTTGCCTTTATGGGTTGAGGCATCAGAATTGCATCAATCATTTAACTCTGTGTGATTGTAAGAGGAGACTAAATTGGTTCAAATTACTCCAGTCTATTTATCTCTTAGCTCCAGCAGGTGTGGTAGTTTTGACCTCTGTCATTGCTTTAATTTTGTAACACACAAGGTTAGCCAGAATCATCTTTCCTGTTTCGGTGCCATACCTAAATTGTGTTGGTGCATCGTAAAACGAAACAGAATAAGCAAGTGAAAGTCTCTATATGGCCATCACACTGTCAGTATGTCTTAAAACCTCGTAGGTAATATTATACTTTAATCTCACTCTGTCTAGCAATTTTATCTCTCTCTCTTTTTTTTGTAGCTGGATGAGACAATATTGACTTTGGTTCAACGGCTAATGGACAACCAGGACAGGTTCAAAGTTGAGCCTCAAATCTGTGGTTCAAGTTGCCAACCTCATACTTCACTATCGGCCACCAGTGGGTACAAGCCTCTGCCAGTACTGCCAGACAAACATGATCATAGATTTGTTCCCAGCACTCTCCCTCATCCCTCCGGCACCCTCCCTCATCCCTCCGCAACCCTCTCTCATCCCTCCACAACTATCACACAACAAACTCACACCTTACAAAACCCACTGAATCTTGCTCAAGGTCCACTGATATTGAACATTGGAAATCTAGGGGGTGGTCAAATGATGCTAGTGGCCAGTCAGAATGATGCGTCTCAGTTATCGATTTTAACAAATACTACAAACTCTGGGCAGCTACCGAATATAGAATCAAGGGAGGTCACTCCACAACTAACGAGAGAAATGAGTTCGCAGGTTAGAGATGTATCAACGCAGGTGTTATGTAGGTCGGTTTCATTGTGCGAGCCGAATGACTCTATTAACGCAAGTATTATGGCTCGTTCACAAAGCCACGATAGTTGTAATAATGTGACTGTGATTCCATCTCATAATATCAATTTTACACATCAGCAGGGGCAAAGTCAAACTAATGGTTTTCATAATATGGGGACAATACAAGGTACATCTGATATACAACAGATGGACACCAAGCCTGAGGAAACAAAATCTAACTTAAACCCAGTTGAAAATTCTTTCGTACAAGCAAATATCCAAACCTCAGAGACAAATAACTTCACTAGTCTGTTTTCATCGAATAATTCTAACAACAATTCTATGGTAAGCTCATTGTTAGATGAAATAAGTGGTGCAGACTTCCTTACTGCGGACAAGTTCTCGCCAATGGAAGAAAACAAGAAAGGTTTTGGTCATTTAGGAGACAGCTTCGAGAGTCTGCAAGGAACATTCAATACTTTACAAGGATCTGATTTAAACCTAGACCAGTTAGATCTAATAGACATGCCTGAGCTAGAAAGAATGTGCAGTGTCCTTACGAACTCTGGGGACATTGCTGAACTCCCTGCAAACATGGAAATGAATACTAATCAGTGCCAAAAATCACAGAATCTTGAAAACCAGAAAGTGGGAAGTATTTCCATGACTCAAACCAATATAGGCAATCTCAATGCAAATAATTTCTCTCGTAATAGTAGTGAACAGAGAGGGAGTATAGGTACAGTGAATAGTGATGTTGATTCTAGTTGTGTGACCTGTGGTACCTCAAGGTCACAAGGTCAAGGTCAGGATGGAGAACTGCCACCTATGGGAGGCAGGGGAGATAATTTAGTGCATACAACAAAGACACCATGTACAATAGCAACAATTACAGATTTCTCACCTGATTGGGCCTACGCAGAGGTTTGTGGTTTTTTCATTCTTTCAAAATATTGTGGCATTTTAGGTCATTTTTATGCCCCCACAATGTGGGAGCATATAGCGTTGCACTTGTCCGTCCGTCAGTCCGTCAGTCCGTACGTCCCGAAATCTTGTGAACGCAACTCCTCTTAAACCGGATGGCAGATTTTGCTTAAACTTACAGGGATGAACAACCTTAATGTGTAGATGGTAGTAAAGGAAGGAATTTTCGCTGCGACCAAATTTAACAGAATTATGGCCCTTTGTTGATTTTTTCACTCGATACTATGTAGAAATTTTGTGAACGCAACTCCTCTAAAACCGGATGGCAGATTTTGCTTAAACTTACAGAGATGAACAACCTTAATGTGTAGATGGTAGTAAAGGAAGGAATTTTTGCTGCGACCAAATTTAACAGAATTATGGCCCTTTGTTGATTTTTTCACTATATACTATATAGAAATTTTGTGAACGCAACTCCTCTTAAACCGGATGGCAGATTTTGCTTAAACTTACAGGGATGAACAACCTTCAGGTGTAGATGGTAGTAAAGGAAGGAATTTTCGCTGCGACCAAATTTTACAGAATTATGGCCCTTTGTTGATTTTTTCACTATATACTATGTAGAAATTTTGTGAATGCAACTCCTCTTAAACCGGATGGCAGATTTTGCTTAAACTTCCAGGGATGAACAACCTTAATGTGTAGATGGTAGTAAAGAAAGGAATTTTTGCTGCAACCAAATTTAACAGAATTATGGCCCTTTGTTGATTTTTAGTTTTCAACTTGTGGCACATGTAGTCCAAAAAATATTTGACCTAGAGTCATATGATTGACAGAACAGTGACGTGTGGGGGCATCCGTGTCCTATGGACACATTTCTAGTTTTGTAATTGTTTAGCATGATCGTCAATGACACTTGATCTGTACAGCTGTGTGTGATTTTGACAGAGCCATCAATAGTCGAAGATTGAAAAAAAAATGTGGAACTTTTTTTTTGCAATGAAGTCTAAAAATTAGATTTAGGGAGTGCAAAAAGCAAGATATATAATGGAATAAAATTGTTTGTAATGGAAGGTCACTGAAGACAGTCATAACTATAGTTACTGATATATTTCAGTTCATTTTAAAACATAAATGCTGAAATTGATATACAGTGAAAGTTGAGAAAACCGGACGGCTTTCGGACCGAGGGTTTTGTCCGGTTTTCTCAGCGGTCCGGTATTCTCAATGTCCCCTTCAGCTATTCAGGATCCTATAAACCGAGCAATAACTTACAAAGGATGCTGAACGTATATTTGCATTTTCATGATCATGAGTAAGTATATTGCTTAATAAAGAAATGATAAAAATACTATACAATATGTTTTAATTGTTTTTGTCCCATTATTGCATATAAATACAATAAAATTTTGGATTTAAACGAACAGCAGTTACCTCATAACGATAAAGTCCGATTACACCCGCATATGTTTACATTTGGGTAATGGATAATGATTTAACGAACATAGTTTACTTTGTTTGTTTATAATAATGCCCCAATTGTTAATATTGCTTATACATGTACCATGTTTGTCAGATAGAGATTTTTAAAGTAGGTCTTGGCAAAGTTTTACTGTCTTTAACTAATTTAAATTTGTCACTATTAGACAGCTCTTGTCGAATTCTTTTAGGCCATGGAATAGAACTTGGCACTGATAAATGTCGTTTCCGTTGCGTTGTCATTTTAGGAAATGAATATACAAAAAGCAATGCAGTATAATAATATTCTATTTTTCATTCATACTGATTTTAACTTATCAATTTCTCGTGCATTTTGGCATTTATATAAAACGGTAACATATAACTGTAAAAAGAGACATAATTAACAAATCAGATAATCATTGTTCCGTTTACGCTCAGTTAGCGTATTAGACACAACCAATTGATAAGTACACAAGGTTATTCACACCTTCGTCGTCCGGTATTGTCAGGGTAATTGTCTATATAATGGACTTTGAGTCCCTTTTCAACCGTCCGATATTCGGTTTTTACAGATTCCGGTATTGTCAATGTTTATTACAATAGTTTAAAGAAGGAAAAATTTTGGACTGAATTATTCATCCGGTATTTAGAGAGTTCCGATTTTCTCAGCATCCGGTTTTCTCAAATTTCACTGTAGTATAATCTAACCGAAACAAATATGGCTGCTTAAATTAAGTCAGATTCGAGGCAAAGTATAATTTTTATCTGTGCTTCATTTAGTTTGTATATCATCTATGTATCATGCTAAAATAACTTAAGACATGTAATAAAAATGTTTAATTATATAAAACAGTATAAGATGTTTTATTTTATTATAATATTATAACGTTTCTTTTACGCGCCAAATGTGGCATCTATTAACGTAGATGTCTGTTTGGTACATTTACGTCATTTCCTCTGTTATTTATCAACTGACGAAGCTAATAAAGCAAAACATGTATTGATATTTAAAATTGTGTTGGTTTTTTATCTATTTCTCCTACATATTCATTTCTCAATTTGTATTTGTGCAGGGCCAGACGAAGGTGTTAGTAACGGGACCATGGCATTCTAATATGGGAAACTATACAGTATTATTAGATGGAAAAATAATAGCCACCACTCTTGTTCAACCAGGTGTTCTCAGATGTTTTGTTCCAAGTAAGTAATTATCTGATTTATTTTAATATTTTACAAATTAAAAGAGAAGATAAACTTCTAGTAATTATTTTTAAAAGAACTGCCGGCTATTTTGCTCACAGATTCTCTCATTGTATGGATAAAATTTGCTTCTTTTATTGCCTGAAATAGATCATTTCTAGGGAAAAGATTGTGTAAGTGGTCACATAGGTCAGACAATAGAAGTGTGAAACAGTGATCGGTTGCTGATACGCAGGCTGGTCTGGATCCATACTGGTCGCAAACGCATTACGTTGGTTTTGTCATGCCACGGCTCATATGTATGTATTAAATATGTTTGACAGGTCATCATTCTGGTCGTGTAACATTACAAGTCTCGTGTGATGGGACGGTCATCTCTAACAATGTCCAGTTTGAATACAAGGATAGACCAAGTGATTCACTCAGCGATACATCCTCATTGGTCCTAGATTGGTTCTCTGTTGACGGTAGTATTCTCTTTATTACCTGCTGAATTTCTATAATTAACTTGCCCTGTAGTCATAATTGTATTCTTATATTGTGATATTAGTGATTTTTGACTGTTATTTTTCTGTTTGTTTGTTGTTATAACCAGTTGCATATTATATGCCTTGGTTTAATAAAAACTGAAACTGAAACTGTTTTGCATTTGGACCAGTCCATTCAAAGTTTAAGGGGTTTCATTTTCAGAATACAAAAATTGAGCCAGCCAACAGTATAGAGCCTTGTCAAAGTACAGGAATGAGTGGGCTGGCCTGGCTCTATACTGGTGGATAAGGCTATTCACTTTAAGTTCCAAAAGTTAGTGTAAACATATTTTATTTCAAACATTTTAACACAAACATAATTATTTTACATACAATCATTACTTACATATGATAATATACAATGAAGAAATAGGAACAGATTCGAAAGCATACAATGCTTATAAAAGGACTTTTCCTAACATAAAATTCATTACTGTAAATGTAGCGGTAAAATTCATGTTTGAAATATATAATAAAAAACATTTTTATTGATAATGAATGTAGAAAGATGAGGAAGGCAAAAGCGTCAATTAAGAGCTGACAGAAGAAAATTATAGAGTTGAAATAAGTTAGATTAGAAACCTTGCTATGATATGTTTTAAGTTCCAATTCCATGATTTTATATCCTGTCAAATTTGTGAGGATAATGTAATAATAAAGTTACCTAGTACTAATTTAATTATATCCCTTTCTCATTAAACATTTCATCTCCTTAGCGCAGTAATGTGTTAACTCCTATTAAAATATACTAGGAGTTAACCTGTTCCTGCACTAAGGTGACGATTTAATGGTTATGTAATGAGTTTTAAAAGAAATGAGCTTTCTTAATAAGCCAATGTGCAGTTTATTGTAAAAAAAACTTGGATAAGTTTCTTCGTAGCAACTAATTATATAGTTCATGTAGCAAAACTTTAAGATACTACATTTCCAGGCAAATTCTTTTTCACTGTTGTCAAACAATCTTGAATTTGTGATAATTATAATTTGATGTATATCTTATTTACAGATTGTAAGCTTATAGAACAGTTGTTAACAAAGTTAGAGAGGATAGAACTTGCCCTCAGTAAGGTCCCTGATTCTCCTAACATTAAACAGGTAAATTTAAAATTATACAATTAGCAAGCTTCCTTAAATTACAGGTAATTCACTAATGCCCTGCTGAATAACCTAAATGAAGGTGTCTGTCTTCCTGAAGTTTTAATTGTCAAAATATGAGATAATCAAAAGAAGATGACAAATTTGAAGCAACATGCCTGATGTCTAACACACACCTCCCTACTTTACCCCTATATGAGCCATGTCATGACAAAAACCAACATAGTGTGTTTGCAACGAGCATAAATCCAGACCAGCCTGCGCATCCGCGCCGTCTGATTAGGATCCATGCTGTTTGCTATCAGTTTCTCTATTTGTAATAGGGTTTGTAAGCAAACAGCATGGATCCTGAACAGACCGCAAGGATGCGCTCGTCTGGATCCATGCTGGTCGCAAACGTACTATGTTGGTTTTGTCATAGCACGGCTCATATGTTTATTTAGAATCTATAATATCTGACTTAAGAAGGTATGAAAGGGACATTAGACGTCAGGCACCTGTGAAGTAAGTCAGCCAATACTAAATGTTTTGTTAGACTGCAAGGATTTGCATACTGCCTTGACCTTGTGGTGATTGCAAACATTACATAATGTTAACTTCCTGCTCCATCTATCTGAATGTTAAACATGTATTATTAATGTGTCAAGTGTTGCTAAAGTCTTACTTCGAAAAAATTGTATAGGTTATCCTAGTCAATACTGATTTGAACTTGCAATTGTAATGTCAGTTGTTTTGACATCAAAATAATATATAAATAGTCAACATAAATAAGTCTATTGAGCATTTGTTTTTTTAAGTGTTGGCCTCTCCACCCAAATATTGTGCGATTAATTTCCTCTAGGGTCTCAAACATGTTTCCTCATATGGTGGTAGCCACAAGTGAAATATGACAATTTTCATACCACAAGATGAAAATAAATCTTGTATTTATAGGAAAAACTTGAATTATCTGTTTATTATATACATTTTTCTCTTTTTTGACATTACTATTTGAAAGACTTACCCTTAAATTTTGTGTATTGGCTGAATGTAGAAGAAAGTAGTCTGGCAAAAAACACCAGTGAAAATACAGAAAATTAAATACATATTTTATTTCACCAATATTTCTAAATATTTCATTTATATAAGTAATATAATAAACTATTTTAGATAACCAGTAATTTGTCAAGTTTAGCAGATATGGACACGTGTCTGACACAACATTTAGAATCTCTCGCATCTCGACTGTGGACGTCAAATGATTTATCTGTAGAGAATGGATCTATGGGACTCAGTCTCCTACATCTTGCCGCCGGGCTTGGATACCACTCCTTCATCACTTTTCTTATCAAATGGAGGTAAATCTTTCTAAATGTGATAATATGAATGGATGAAGTGTCCACCTAGTTAGCTAGAAAATGAGGTTTTGGAGGGGGCAACAGAGATCAATGGCAAAGTCGTTGGCTAATGTGGAATCTTGTCACACAGAGCCTGAAGGACAGCTTGGTTGAAGCAGAATTTAGAAGTTGACAGATATAGTTCATGTCTTTGAAGGCATATCCTTGCATGTGTGTTCGACCTGAAAATTAACTTGCAAGATGATATGTCTTAATACTCTTATACTGTGTTTATGTTAGTAAAGTAAACCCAGCTTAGTATGTGCTATGGACTTGTCTTGTCTTATAAATCTGGAACTGTCCATAAGTAATTTCTGGGACTTTATTTTCAAAATACTATGTGTTGAAATTGTTTAGCTAATAGTTACTATTATGTAATGAGGAAGTTATCTAGCTAGCTTACAGAACGTTAGTGGTTCTACTCAGGTGCCTGTTTGTGCCTGAAATAATGCACAGAGGGGCACCTGAGGTCTTTCTTCACCAGAAAAGCTGGAACTTTGCCATATGACCAATACTGTGTCGGTGTGATGTAAAACAAAATCAAACTAACAAATAATTGTGTAAGAATGACTGGTCTGACTCTGCTTATGCCATTGGTAAATAATTAACATGTCTCTATGTCTATACTGTATTACTTGTTTTGTTGCTTGTACTACTGTATTATTACTTTTTCTTACTTGTATTTCAGGAATGAGAATCCAAGTTGGTTATTGGAGTATGAAGTAGATGCACACAGTACAGATCTGAACTCTTGTACACCACTCGTAAAAGTTACACTATTTTTCATCTTGCAATCTACAAATCGTTGACTGAATATAGACCATGCATAGGTGAGAACAAAACCATGTAACATGTGCATACCCCATAATAACAGATGCTGAACTGCCCCCAAATGTAGGCAGGTGCGCTATGCCATATAAATAACAAAGGTGCAGACCCCAAATGTAAAGGTGCAGCCCCCCCATAATAACAGGTGGCAGGCCCCCAAATGTAGCAGATGCAAGACCCCAGACAATGTACGCATGGTGCCACGACCATTAACTCACAATATAACAGGTGCAGACCCGCAATGTAAAACAGGTGTAGCCCCCCCATATACAGATGCAGGCCCCCAATGTAGCAGATTGCAAGTACTCACCAATGTAGCAGGTGCAGAACCACGCTAGAGTGAGCAAGTGCAGACCGCCAAATTGTTCAGGTGCAGAACCCCGCAAATGTAGCAGGTGCAACCCCCCATTGTAGCAGGTTGGCAGACCGTACCTAATGTTGCGTACAGAGGTGCATCTACCCCCTTTCCAATGTTTAACAGGTGCAAGACGCAACAATGTAAGAGGTGCAGACCAAACAATGTAAGAGGTGCAGAACCCATGTAACAGGTGCAGACCCCAATGCAACAGGTGCAGATCCCCATGTAGCTGGTGGCAGACCACCATGTAGCAGGTACAGACCCGCCCAATATAACAGATGCAAGACCCTCCCCTCCCCATGTAGCAGGTGCAGAGACCAACCCAAAATAGTAGCAAAGGTGCAGAACCCCAGGTGTACACAGGTGAGACCCGCATATAGCAGGTGCAGAACCCCAATGTAACAACAGATGGAAGACCCCCCATGTAACAGACAGGGTGCAGACCCCAATGTAAAGGTGCAAGACCACATTGTTATATACGATCAGACCACTTATTACCAGGTGCATAACCCCATATTAACAAGCTGCAGACCGCAATTTAGCATGTGCAGACACTGTTAAGACATAACTAGTAATTCAAGATACAGTACAAACATGGTATTTTTGAAATTTTCCATGAAAATGATGAATGTCTTTTCTAAATTCAAAATTTCAAATTTCATGTAAAAATGTTGAATTCTGCTTAAGCGGGTGCTATGGGGCATTGACAGTAGTTTGCACTCGACAGTACTATCCGTGAATAAGCTCAGTCAAACTGAGTCAACAACATTTTCAATTTTGCCATTTTGGACTTTCTTTTGGGATAATTATTTTCTCTAGTGTATAGATTGACAGATGAGTAAGTCTTGTTATGAAATTTAGCATGGTAAAGGGTTGAAGTTTACTAAAAAATTCGAGGCATGTGACTGTCCATTTTCAAACGATAATTGAATTATAATCGGTTGTGAAAGCAATATAATATGTATTTAACACACACACCCAGAACATATAAATGGAGCTTAAAGTAGAGAAAAATAATGCAATAGAAAGAGCATAGGATGTATTATGTACAGTTTATTAAACTAGAAAATTGGCCTCTAGCTTCCAATTATGAGGGTTGCAATGATGTGTTACTGTAAGCACAAAAAATATGTCATTTTATTACACAAAATCAAATGTGTTATTAATTGAGTCAAATCTTATATTTTCATAGATGTGGGCATGTGCAAGAGGACACACCAAGTCTGCAGAAATTCTCTACAACTGGAACAAAGGTCCACTACATTCATTTAATAGAGAGGGTAACCTCCCCTTGCTGGTTGCTAGGCAGCATGGACATCACAAACTGGCTGACCAATTAGAACAAATTGATTCATCACATGACAAGTCACATGATCTGAATTCATCAAGATCACAAGAATACATTTCATCGTCAAGCATTTATCAAACCCAGACTTTTGATAATTCTCAAAGCATGAGTAAAATGTGTTCAAATTCGGATTCTGTCTCAAATATTCGCTCAACTCCAGAAAAGACTTATTTTTCTACTGACTTTCCGATGACATCTTCAACAACCATTACAAAGGAGTCAACTGATTCAGTTTCCCAACACGAGGAACTTCCAGACTCGGACACTGTACTGAATGCTTTACATATTGATATACCCTCTAGCCATCATGATAAAATTGAAAATGCTCACAAACAATATAAACGAGAAAATCCTTCTCATAACAATAAACCAATGCTAAAATCATTGCCGTCATCGGCATCAAAAAGTATAACATCCACAATGGCATCATTATCCACATCTTCACTGTCAACGGCCGAAAAAAGACAAAAGTTGCAAAAACGATTTTCTGTTGATGTGATATCTAATCAAACTTTAGAACCGGTACATTTTTCAACGACCGCAGCATTCCAGCGTCCGGTTCGGGAGGCTAATTCGGAGCCTCAACTAGCAGCTAATATGGAGCACTTGTTGTACCAGACTAACCCAATGTTATCAGATGGAAGAGAATCAGGTATGATGCTGTTGATCTAGTTGACTTACATTATCTTGTTGTTAAAACTTAATGACATTTTCTAATTTCTTCTTATTGAACAGGTTTGCTGCCTGTTTATGTTTCACTATAATTAATCCTTAAGAATTTAATTGTAGCTGAAGTTTAGTATGTCTATTACAGTAAACATGTTGAATTTTTAAATGGACTTCCAGCTTTCAATTATGGAACTGTTACTTATCAATATTTTGGAATTTGCAGATTATAGTCATCCAACAGTATAGAGTCTGGTCAGACTACACGGATGTGTGGCAAAGGCTGGTCACTCTTGTTTAAGCAGGATAAGAGTCAATTATGGTTATTTTATCATTGCTTAGTACTGGTTGGTTCCAGGAACGGATTCAAGAGTGTTTCAATAAGCTAATAATAGCTTCCAAAACAATCGAACTAAAATATATTAGTATAAACTAAACTAATTATTGTTATATATTGATAATATACATGTATATGTTTAATGAATAATACTAGGTTACGCAGAGCTGTTTGTAAACAGTTGAACCAAGTGTGATCGAGAGACCATGTGGCAAAACTCATATGTAATCAATGACAACTCATCAATATCTCATCTTGGATTAACATTGGACAACGAGGTAAATCGTATTAGGATTACAACATTTTTTTACAGCTTTTAGCCATTTTATTAAACCTAGTAATGTTTGTCCTATTTTGTCTGTAGATGTGATATTCAGTCAATTATACATCAACACCCATGAAATGGATTAATTATCATTATCGGTAACCCGCAGCGCAGGAGTGTAATAAAGCCATTTAATAAAAACTATATTACACTATTATAATAACACTTTGACGTGACGTCTTTTGTGCAATATATACACATAGCTTTAATCATGCTAATGTTATTGTTACACTATGGGCACGTCATAAAAAATAGCTCTTTTTAACAGTTTACCGCTCTTATTTGATATATGTGATAAAAAGAATATTATATTCGGATAGCTTCAATACTAATTTATTGAACTCGTTGAATAAAACAATATTATGCTAGCCAGAGGCTTGCATAATATGATTTTATTCAACTTGTTCAATAAATTTAGTATTAATTCAATTAACTCTTTCAATATCCTCTATTTAAAGTGCCTAAAAAGTGGGGTGGACCCTTATTAAACTTTAGAACACACACAAACAATTTAAATCATCTGGTCAGATTGCCTGGATGTAAACACTGGCTTATCTCTATACTAGTGCCATAAACATAGGCAAAATTTTGGTTATCTCTAACAGTAAAATAAATGGCTTGTATGTTTTCAGATAATTTATCAGATGGCAGCAATAATTCATTTGTTGATGTAGAGAGAATTTCCTCTGATGATGAAGATATGAGAAGAAAAATGTTGAGTCAAGGTTAGTGTTTTACTTAGAAAATGTTGAGTCAAGGTTAGTGTTTTACTTGTAAAAATGTTGAGTCAAGGTTAGTGTTTTATTTGAAAAAATGTTGAGTCAAGGTTAGTGTTTTACTTGAAAAAATGTTGAGTCAAGGTTAGTGTTTTACTTGAAAAATGTTGAGTCAAGGTTAGTGTTTTACTTGAAAAATGTTGAGTCAAGGTTAGTGTTTTACTTGCAAAAATTTTGAGTCAAGGTTAGTGTTTTACTTGAAAAATGTTGAGTCAAGGTTAGCGGTTTACTTAAAAAATGTTGAGTCAAGGTTAGTCTTTTACTTTGAAAATGTTGAGTCAAGAATAGACTTAACTTTGCTTGATTGTTAGTATTTGACATTTCAAAGGTGTGGCATGTATGGAAAATAGTGAAAAAATAAGACATGCAAATATAAGACAGAGAGAGATGATCTATTTTTAGAAAAGAAGAGCTCTGACTTTTCAACAGTTTGGTTTTTTGATTGAAATCTTAGCCTGCTTGCAGGAACAGATTTACACAATTTTGATCTTTATACTCACAGTGTTAATACATTTACGAACTTCTTTTTGTAAGCATAGTTTTACTACATTATTCAAAACAATATCATGCTCTACCAAACTTTTTTTTGGAAATATTTTTGTGAAATGTCTAATCTGTGGTTATGTTGAAAGCCTTGATAATGGTTATGTTGATGCTTTAGCAGTATTTGTAAACATACATGCAGGAAATATTTTACAGTAAAAGTAACTTAAACTCTATTTTTATATATTAGGCGTAGAAAATTGAAAACCCTCAACCCCACAAATGGTTCACCTGGCTAAACAGATAATTGCTGTGCGATGCCAGAGAGAAAAAATCGTCACCCTTAGTCGCGGAGATGATATTCAGCCAGATGAGTTTCAAGCGAGAAACGTAGCAGTTCGTACAGCTTCTTTACACAGTCCTCCGCATCACCACACCCGGCCCTCGTCATAACGGGGAGGCTTTATTCTTCGTATGGAGAAGATTCTGGCATCTCAACACGCGATGCATACAGCCTGGCCTTTTTTGATGAATATAGGTAGGACATTTGCATGTTCCCCTGTTTTATTAGAATCCCTGTTGTTGATTTCTTGGAAAAATGTTTCATTTTATCGTAACTTTTAAAATGATGGTTACCTTCTGTATTTAAGGATTGGACCTTTCCTGTTTTTAATTTGGAATCCATTTTTAACTCGGTAATTTGAGCTAATTAGGGAGAGCTATTGTACTAACTCAGCATCCACATCACACCTTGGTAAAGGTTTTATCTGCACGTTGGTATCTTCAAAACTACTGAAGGGAATGTGTTAAAATTTCACACTCTTATTTAAGAGAAAAATATAAGGTGACTTTCCATGGCCCATAACTCTGACATTGATTCTGGCATTTGGTTATAAATATCACCATTATCATACATTGATATTTACTTTTACCTGCGTTCAAGTAATAGAAGTATTAATATTGTTTGTACTTATTACAACAGCATGTTGATCCGTTTTATTTGTTTTTTCAGATATCCAGAATGTTTTATTCAGACTTGGGTAACGCCCGCCTCCTTCGTTGAGCCCTGACTCTACGTGTCTACACAGCCCATATAGTCCCTATACATTCCACATGGACTCCCCGCCCCCTACTGCTGCAGAATTCATTGAGTACTTCAATGCCCCCGCTACCTTCATGGAGAAAGATTTCTCACAGCTAACACTGTCTGGTAAGTTCCCTGTCTCTCTTGTTACCTTCATTGTTGTAGTAACCAGTCTTTGGGCACATCTGTTGAAGAAATGATTTTTAGTGCCATAAAAATAAACATAAGGTTTTATTTCATAAATGCTGTAAGGGGCATCTGTGGCAGAGTGGTTAAGGTCATTGACTTCAAACCACTTGTCCTTCACCGCTGTGGGTTTGAATCCCAACAGGGACTTTGGATTCTTTCATGTGAGGAAGCTATCTAGCGTTGGTGGTTCTACTCAGGTTCCTGTTTGTGCCTGAAATAGTGCATGGAAGGGTACCTGAGGTCTTCCTCCACCAGTAAAGCTGGAACGTCGCCATATGACCTATACTGTGCCGGTGTGATGTTAAAATCCAATAAAAAAAACAAACGTTAATGCTATATTCTCCAGTAGTCTACTGTAGAAATTGGGGCACTTTTAGGGATAAATTGTAGACAGTACTGTTTATACATACAAAAATAATACAGAGAGCATGTCAATGGATGAAATTGAGAAATTATGTACATTATTACATTGAGCTATATAAAGTGAAAGATATTTTTTTTATATCAAATTAACAGAATACACTGTATTTTCGTTGATAAACATGTAATAAAAATTACCAGTGGCCTAGATTTTTGGTGTACTGTTACTGTGTTACAGTTTCCAAAATATATATTCTCATTGACCATACGGATTTATATATGTTATGGAAATTTGTACAGTTTTAGTGAACAAGTATTTTGTTTGAAAGTCAAAATACCATTTTGTTTACATTTTGATACTTTTATGACAACATATTCTACACGCAAGGCTACAATCGTCTGACGATAAACAGGATATATTTTAAATCAATTGTAAACATTTTAAAACACATATTTACCCTTTCTAAAAAAAGACAAAATGTTGTTGTTTTTTTTTTTGGGGGGGGGGGGGGGGTTCCTAAGATTTGATTGTTTTTTTTTCTCTTTTATTTTTCAATCATAATATACAAACATTCAAATCATATTAACTAAATACATAAAGTATAACTTCAAATAAATGTAATGAAATTATGACAAGCATATTTGTATTTTAAGATCTTCTAATAAAACTAAGAAGTGCTAATATTATGATAAAGTACATAATAAGTATGAGAGAGAGAGAGAGAAAAGAAAGTGTATGAAAAAAGAGGAAAGATAAATGAAGAATGAGAGAAGAAAAAAATGCAAAAAGAGAGAAAAGATAATAAAGGTCAGTTATGTCACCATTTAATGATTGTAAAAACAATTTCATTTATGATATAAAAGTTAATTCTTAGTAAAAAAAAAAAATTGAAAAAAAAAAATAGAAATAATAGATGTGTTGAATAAATAGAGGATATTGAATGAGTGTATTTATTGAAGGAGTTGTATAAAGTTATATTATGTGAGCGTAACATTATTTTATTCAACAAGTTCAATAAATTAAGTATTGAACTTACACGAATATGATATTGTTTTTATCACATACCCAAAATAAAATAGTGTTTAAAGTAAAAAACAATACCTTTTTAATGACACGCCTAAAGTATAACTCAAACGAAATCACATCAAAATATATATGCACGGCATTAAAATACATTTTTTACAGAGTTGCAAAATTGGCACTGGTACATGTGATAAATTATTATATAGATAAACATGTGAACTAAAATTCTATTTTAACAGATCGTGAACAGAGGAAATTATACGAGGCAGCTAAAGTTATACAGAGTGCGTACAGACAGTATAAAGATAAACAATGTAAACAACAAGCTAAAGAAAGAGAGGCAGCTGTTCTTATACAGAGTTATTATAGGAGATATAAACAGGTCTGTTAATGTACTGTCATATGTTTGTAATGAACATACATATACATGATAGTTTCTTAAACTGGGCTTGAACAATTTTTCTATCATACTAGCTGTCACTTTTGGCAATTCAGTGTGTGTACGTATGTCCTTCCTGATTATGCCTTAGGGGCATGACTCTGTCATGAATAGGCAGAATTTCAAATAACTTGGCACAAATGTTCACAATAATGAGACGGTGTGTTGCATGCAAGAACCCTGTGGCTAGGTCAAAGGTCAAGGTTATAAAAAAATGATCTCAAACAGCTTGTCGGCACCATCACTCTATCACTAGCTGATGGAATTTCAAATAACCTGGCACAAATGTTCAACATCATGAGACAGCATGTCACTTGCAAGAACAATTTGACAAGGTCAAAGCTCAAGGTCAGGTGTGACAGCTGGCTTGACATGTTGCCCTTGGGCATTTAATTTCCTCCAGTAATTGCTAACATTTCCACACAAGTCATTCTAGAAGTACTGGAGGATGAATAGCATTAGCTGAATCATAGTTGACAAATATACGTAGAGCTGTCAAGTGTCTTAATATGGTAGCTTGCTGGTGTCATCCGCAAGGTTCAAACCCATATCAAGAGGTTCAGAGGCAGACACCTTTAACCATTAGGTCATGGCTTTTTTGATGTACTGTTACAGTATACTATTATTTTCATTGAAAGTATTTCCTTGAACAAAAAGAAAACAAAAACAAATACAGTGTTTTTTTTCACCAAAATATTCGGAGAAATTTGGCCCCATTCCCCCCTCAAAATAGTATGTTTTTTTCCCCTCTCAAAGCAGAAATTTCCCCCTCATATGGCAGCCAAAATTTGCCTGCAATGGATACCATTTCTTTTGCATATAACTGCCGAAAAATGTTTTATATTAATCCTGTAAGACTTACTGTTAAGCAAAGTTGTTTACAATTTGTTCCCGGGTATGTAAGGGGATCTACTACTGGCGTCCCAACAAGTTTAACATGCGACTCTTTACATTCTGCTGTCAATATTTTAGATTGTATATTAAGAAAAAGCGACGTATTTTAAGCTTTTGTTGCAAGAGTTGCTCCCCTTTTCTTCTCACTGGAAAGAAAACAATGTCAAACAAAAGTAAATCTTACAGTGGTAAGTGATGTATTGAAATATGCATTGGATTCGTTTTTGTTTCTTCATTTGTGAAGAAATAAAATTCCCCCTCCTATTGCATTTTCCCCCCTCCAAATGGCACCGACCCCCTTCCCCAAAAAGTGAGAAAAAAAACACTGAAATATTTACAAAAACGTTTCTATTTATTTTAGTATGCATACTATAAGAAGATGACCCAAGCTGCTGTGTTAATCCAGAGCCAGTTCCGAAGTTACTATGCTCAGAAACGGTTCAAGAAGAGTCGCGATGCTGCTGTAGTTATACAAAACCAATACAGAAGTTATAAAGAACATGAGAGGTTGAAGAAAGGGGGAAATAAATCTGTCACACAAAGATTCAGGTATCCCCTTTGATTATCTCCCTTGACTTTATGTTAATGTTTCTCCAGGAACGATGGTTAGGAAACTACCCGCCTATATGACTGAAATACTGTTGGGAAAAGGCGTAAAATGAAACAAACAAACAAACAGTATGGCAGCTATTTTTATTTGGAATTTTCTATACACTCAAGCAACTGTTCTGAAGAGTTTTTGTGAAACTTTGCTATAAAAATCCCTGTTTTGAAGAGTTTTTAGTGAAACTTTGCAATAATAATACTTACCAGGACTGATTTTGTACAAATCTGCATTTTGTTCTGTAATATTCAGTTAAAGTCTTAATAAATGGAGGTCAAATAATTCCCAGGCATGTGCAATATACCATCAAAAAACAGACTAACATTTCAGTGGAGGGGGTGGGGCCAGGGGAGTAAGGGTGATGGCATCTGTGGCATATGGACTCAAAATCAACAGGATAAGCGTTAACTAAATGACTTATGGAATACATTTTTCATTTGTTAAACACTCTTATTACATAAAGGACTTTTATAGACAAAAATCATAACATTGTACAGATTGACCGTCAATATATCACATATGTCCCTCTTATAATAATTATCATATATGTCTTGCATATTTCAGGAGTCATTATCAACGAAAACCTATAGGGGCAGGCAAAGGGTCTCGTGTTGTCCAAATTATCCCAGATACTGAAGGGTGAGTAAAAAATAAGAAATTGAAAAAATAGAAATTCCAAATTTATTTTCATGTTTATATCATCTTAATTTGTTTGAGTTAGAAACAAAACTATTCAGAAAGTTTAAAAAAGGGTGGGGGAAATAAAACAAAAATTCTTGATGGAAACTGACGATTGTTCATCTGTGAAATATTATCATAAAATAATGGACTTTTTTATGTCTATAAATAATAATTGATATACACATTTTATATGATTTACCAAGATTTAATTTCTTCAGATATATTTTGATAAATTCTCAAATTAAATAGTTTATTTTAGCGTTAAATTAAGAGAAAGGAAATTGAAACATTATTGCATAAATAGGAAATAATGATATTGAATTACAGAGTTTCTGCTTGCTATTACATTGTATTATAATTACATGTACTTACTAATAATGTTTGAATTACGTTTGAGTGTGTGAATAGTAATGCATTTTGGAAAACTAAAAAACGACAGCAAGATGTGTTTTGATTGCATGTGTAACATGGATGATGACTAATCTATATACATGTATCTATATACATGTACTTATAATCTATTACAACAGTTCTGCTGTAATTATTTAGGAAATGATTGAATCTTATTAAAAGAGTGTTATATAAATGCTGCTGTATCTATGTGTAGGTAAATATTGTGCTATTGTCTAACAATTTTATGCACCCGACTTATGTATAGAGATCATATTGGTTCCATGTTTAATAGTAAAATAAAACTGATAATAATGAACATTCAAAATGTAAAATCTTGTTTTTCATGTGTCTGCATGATTTTTCAAATAAAATAATCTTTACTGACTGTGAATTATTGGATATTTTTAGTGAGAAATACAACGTTTACAGAAAGAAATGTAAGGATAGTGTGATAACACTTCATACATTCTGTTTGTATCTTTTGAGTCTGAAACTTTTACTGGGGTTATGACATTACATGCTTGATTACATTCTTATAAAGTATCCCTCTATTTCTCAAGATATTATACAACATTGAACAAGCAGATATTTCTAGTTATTTAGCAGTAAAGTAGAATGCTGAAATAAATACCCAATACCGAATTTATCCTATAGATACATGTATTAATGACAAAATATTTTCTCCTTTTTTTTGCTACTCAGTGATTTTTGGAATGTTTGGAGCGTACATAGGGTGGGTAGATCTACATCTTATAGATGTTGTAGTGATTTTTGTTGTCAGTCTGGGTTCTTATTATTTTATACTTTTGAATAAGTCATAAAAAAATATTTTATACAATTATTTGGTAAGTCTAAGTGGTTTATTTTACATACATACATTCCTCCATAGTTTTCTAGTTCTTACTTTTCTATATTAAATGATCAATAAGTTTCAATACTTTACAAATATTAGTAATTTAGTGGAACATACAACCAACACAGATAAGTTTTAAGGTTTGTTTATAAATGCAGACTGATGTTTCGACTTGTATGATCCTTCATAAGAGATTGTTAAATTATTGACCATACAAGTTAAATAAAGGGTTCCATGTATAATTGAGGGTTGATCGCAAAACTGTTGTAAGTCCTTTTTTTATGTCATAAAAGTACCTGTAGTTTTGCAGTCAACCTACCATATATGGTCGCTGACTAACCAAATTATGGCATTACTAAATCCCAATGCTTTACTGGTACTTGAGATGTTTTTTCAACCACAAAAGATGAACAATGCTAATCTGACCTAGATTAAATTAGGAAATAAAGAAAGATAATTCCTCTGATTGGATCAAATTTGTACAAATACATGAATACATATTTTATTTTAAAAAAAGTCTTCATATTTCTATATTAGAGGGACTGTATTATAATTTGTTTGATTATTAATTTAATTTTGATTTTGTTGTACCATCAATATTTTTGTCTGTGCAAACTACACGCAATCTTCTTCCTGTATGTCATCTCCTTTTACTTCGATAACCTCAAAATTTTTATTTATTATCTTTATAATTATTGTCTTCATTTTCTAGCTTAGAATCAACTGTTAATCAAATCAGCATCTTGCATTGATCATATTTTATAAAGTTATGTTTTTATGTTCTTCAAGATGTTTACCCTAAAGCACCATTTTCTTGAATTTTGGTTATAAAAAGAACCAGGGATTTTTAGTTCGCTATTTAATTTGATATTTTTATTTTTAAAGCCAGAGACATTATTACCTGAATGCACGGTAAAGTTTTCTATATAGATATTTTGCTAGTTTTATAAACCTATAGTTGCCATAGGATATACTAGAGATATTATTCCGGGGTTTTAAACATATAGTAAATATAATGTATATGTAAGTGTTCGTCCATGCTGTTCTACTGAAATTAGAAACTTCGACAGGAGTGACAGCAACAGGAGAATGTTTCTAATTTCTGTAGAACAGCTTCAGATGAATACTAACATACTTGGTGTCAAGCTTTATTTTGCTTCATTAGAAATCTCTTTAAAACGTCACTACTTTTTTTACGAATGCTGTTCCATGAAGCACTATGAACAATAGAAGTCTACTTTGAGCGTAATTCGATATAGAATTGACTTTTGTTCTTCTATGAAATGTACCACACACAATTTTTAGGAAATACACTGTTTTCATTGGATGACAAATAAAGCTAGACACTAAATAATAATTGAGCCGTGTCACGACAAAACCAACATAGTACGTTTGCGACCAGCATGGATCCAGACCAGCCTGCGCATCCGCTCGGTCTGATCAGGATCCATGCAGTTCGCTTACAGACCCTATTACAAGTAGAGAAACTGATAGGGAACAGCATGGATCCTGATCAGACTGCGCAGATGCGCAGGCTGGTCTGGATCCATGCTGGTCGCAAACCCACTATGTTGGTTTTGTCATGACACGGCTCATATTAGTATTTTATTTTCTCTCTATCTTTCTGCAGTATCTGCTTATCATATCTGTTAACTTACAGTACCTTTCTGTCGAAATTAACAAAAGTTAATAGAATTTTATGATAGTCAATGTTTACTTTCTGTGTAAAAAAAACCTGTTAGCAAAGTTATTATTAAAGTCCAAATATTAGATTATAGTTGACAGAATTTTTAAATACTAAAGTAACTTTCATCATAGAATCATAGGATGTGTGGACTTTCATCAAAGTCATCGGATCTTTCTTATTTTGTCCTAGTTTGTGCAAAGTGCTTGTGTGTGTGTGAAAATGTGCCACTAGAAAGATGAGTTGTTTTATTTAATGAAATTATGTTGATATTGAATCTCCTGTCTTGTCTGTTTAAACAGACAGCATACAAGATAGATGAGATAGTAAAAAATATGATTTATATGCAATAATTCCTGTTGGTATAAAATGGAACCAAGGTAGAAAGTTGAACCAAAGTGTATATTTTATACAGCTTTATTTGTTGGTTGACATTAGCATAAATAGAGGATATTCATTGTTGTTATAGGGATTTATTGTCATTGAGTGGATTGAGAATAAATATTTCATGAGTGGTGGTAACCCACAAGTGAAATATGATAATTTTCAAACCACAAGATGAAAATAAATCCCTTGTTTATAGAAAAAATTGAACTCTGTTTATTACAAGTCATACTTTTTCATTTGTTGACCTTACAATTGAAAAATCAGCTCTTGGCTGTTATATTTAATAATGCATAAAATTATGTAACCAAATGGAGCAAGAAATAAGGTACATGCATTATTATGCACTTATTATTATTAATTTAAGGAACTTCATTTAAATTATATTCTGTATGTACTTATTGTAAATCTATAAGCCATATGGTTGTGAGCTTTGGGGATTTATATACAGCTATTTGTAACTTTGTAGCGATTGTAATGTGTAAAATGCTTCAAAATATGCAATTTCTTAACATTTTAGTCTAAATATTACAATTTGACCCCAACAGATAAAGGTTAAATGCATATTCATGAAGTTATAAAATAGAAGGAGTCTACGTATATTACACAAATTAATGGTTTATATGTATATGTATCTGAAATATATGTCCAAATGAATAAAATACAAATACTCACAAATATATCAATATTTTTATGTGTATTATAAGATCAACTTTGAAGAGTTGCTATATAAATGTAGTTTATTGCGTATAAATGATACTAACTTGAATTTTTCCTAAATGTGTAAAATATTTTATGATAAATTTTTATGTTAGTCTTGTAAAGTTTTGATTAAAACATTTTATATTGAATGGAGATATAAAATAGATATGTGTGCCTTTTATTCAGGTCCGGTACAATGTACTATAGTTTGTATTATAGTGTTTTGATCTAAATTATTGACTTTAGGGCTATAAATCCATTAATTCTTGTAAATTTCCCTCAGTTTTTTCATGTCTCTTGGAGTATTTTTGTTAGCGAACTGTAATTAATGGCTCACCTCTACTGAATATTTTCTATAATGATATTCATATTATATGCACCAAGGGTTCATACTTATAAATGCAAAGAGTGGTTCAACAAAGGTACTATCTTGTTCCTGATATAATGCAGGGATGGGTGGGCACCTGTAATCTCCATCTACCAGTAACAGCTAGAATGTCAGCATCTAATACTGACTGCCGGTTCACTTTGGAAATGTCCTTCTATGCTGAGTTGTCACTACTGGACAGTCCACACTGTACGGGGCATTGGTCTATAGCAAAATGCTTGATCTCTTTTTTCACATACACTTGGGATGTAGAGCTCTTAAAACACTAAAAATCCAAATAAAATGTATATTTGTCAATCCCAGTACAGTAATAAACGCCCCTCCCCTAATAAAGGCCCCCCTCCCCAGGTCTTTTGATAATGAAAATAATCTACTCATCAGTGCTGAACTCATAATTAAATACATAATATTATTCAAATCATTCAGAATCCATTTTATTTTATAGTAAACACAAATATGTATAATATGAACTATAAAACCTTTATACTTTTTAATGTTATTACCAACACTTGCTAACACTAAATGTATTTACAGTGATTTTTTGATTTAGGAAAAATGTATTTTAATAATAGCCCCCCTTTTGGAAAATGTTTAGCCCCCGGGGGCGTTTAATAGGAATTTTACGGTATATGATGTTTTTGAAAAGTTTCATATTGTTACATCTAAATATTATATGGGATATTAAGGCATTTAAAGCTCCACACCCAGAGTGTCTGTGCTTTTTTCATGCAAAAGAAAATCCAGCCTGACAATATTACAAGGCAGTTGGCAATTATGACATTTACATTGTTAATGTAACTTTAAACAAAACAAATAATTCAGAAACTTCCAAAATTAATGATCTATTATTGATAAAAATTAAGCTAGTTGACTAATGAAAGATGCTATGAACTGTAAGTCTATTGTTACGTATAGAACCTTATCATGTGACCAGTATAGACCAAGATCAGCTCTGTCTCATCATACTCAGTACACTAGTTGATATTTATTTTATCTTTTGAAACTTCCCTTTAAAGTGATGAATGGTCTTGTCCAGTACAAAAGATGGACAAGTCCATTTATGATATTTAGAATGGGTTAGGGTTCAAAGTTAACATGAGATATAATTTTCATGCATTATTCTTACAGCAGACACTCAAATCCCATCTACAGGTATTTTTACCTATATCCAACTACTTTTCTATTTGTTGTTGTTGTTGTAGCTAGTGCTTATTTTGTCAATTTTTTGATATATATATATATATGTGTTGTATATAGCTCACCTGAACAAAGGTATTCTCATCTGATGCTTAAAGTTTATATGAATATTATCTGAAAGTTTGTCACACATACTTAGTTCATTGATTTATAATGCAGCTGAAAATAAACAAATTTCACATAATACATGTTTCTGATATTCTAAGTTTAAATTCATTCAGATGAGCCAAAAACAAATACTTTGAATTTCTTAACTCAAGCAATTATGTACATAATTTAGAATTTGAACTGATAATTTATTAATTGTGATTTAATCTAATGGCCATTTTGTCTGCCACTGCTGATTTAGATTAGTAGTCAAATCACTTGTGGAGGAAATGGTAATTACTGGTTAGTTATCCAGTAAAGCTGGTTAGATGTACCAACTGCTTATATATGACTAGAAACACGACTGTGTTAAATTGTTGTAAAAACCTTAAAAATTAACAAATAAACAATTCCTATGGGTCTCCATACTAGTTTTTTGACTTTATAGGAACAAAACTAAAATTCCTTTACCTGTACATTTATATTTTTAGACATTTGTAGCATACAAGCATTTTTTTTTAGAACAGTATGATTTTGTTTATAGTATTGTTCTGGTCTAATTGTGATGTAGTGAAGTTGTCATTGCATTGTGCAATAAATGATTTTTGTGTTTCATTTTTATTTTATTTTTTTTATATAGAATACAATCAGTGTGTGTCTTTTATAACAACATGCATGTATTATTACCTGTGCTTAGAAGCCATTGATTTCAGATAATGACTTCCAGAATATATCTATTTTCATGGTCATTTTTCCAATTGTCTATTATCAGAGCTAAATTTTGTATGAATGAACTTTTCCTGCTTTGAAGATTTTTTTAATGTTTTTATAGTAGTCCTCGAGGTTTCAATGATAAAATGATAAACTTGAGGCACCAATACAATATGTTTGTTATAAGTACATGGACGTGCAGGTCAGCAAGCAGTCGAGGGAGATAAATATTTGCTTAAAAGCCACCTTCATGTCTGAATTCTTATTGCTAATGCTAGTATTCCTCAAACAAGCTATTATTAGTATGTAAAGAAGGTAAAAAATATGAAAGGAGAATTTTGTCCTATTTAGTATTAAAATGTTTGGTCTATATATATAGGGATGTATATCGGGCCATCATTTCTGGGTCAGACTTAATCACTACATACCTAAAATATAACAATCTACATAAAACCTAACTTTTCTTATAGATGTGTTTCTTGTTTTGTTATTCAGAATATTGTAGTTAGAAAGATACCATATATCCTTTATTCTTGATTCTCTCTCGGTGTAACTCTTAATTCTTTATTTTTTCTGGATTATTGACAATGGTACGAGATCTTGGCCTGTTCCTGGCTACTGAATATACCCATGTGACCAGTGCAGACCAAGGTCAGCTGGTAAAACCATGCCATCTGATCATGGTCTGCACTATTCAGTCACTACAAGTACTTATTTTGAAATAAATTTCCCTAAAAATAATGAATGGTTTAGTCAAGGTTTAAAGATGGACAAGTCCATTTAAGATATTTAGCATGATATGGGCTAAAATACATCTACCGTATGTTCCTTTTATTTTAATTAGTGTAAGCATGCAGATAGAAAAACCTCTTTTATTTATTTTTTGACACTGCACAAGGAAGTTTTATTAAGTTTTGATAAAGCATTATTATTATATAATCTGACTTTGCATGTTTGATTATGATTTATATACATGACATGTTGACCTACAGTCTTGCAGAGTAACACTTTTATTCAAAATAAACCAGATATGATATTTTTTATAAAAAAAATTGACAGGTTTTTATGGCCTTGTATAAATAATTGTTTGCATGTACATGGTCAGACCTATATTTAAATGGAGAGGAATTTATTATCCCTCAAGCTCACATTTTTTGTGAGATTTTCTGAGACCATGCTCTACATGAGATAAACTTACTGATATGTACACAGCCATTTTATCAAAATTTTGTTATCTAAAGTAGGAACAAGAAAGAATTTGCAAACATGTAAACAAAAGCGATAAAAATTAGGGAGATGTCAATTTTTGTCAGTAATGAATGAATAAAACAAGATGGTGAAATTGATCAACTCCAAAGACAAATGAATATCTTGCAAGGGATTGTGGGTCAGGATTGGAAAAATTTCTATTTTTTGAGCTTCTTTATCCCTCTGTAATATTGGTCTATGGTACACTGGCAAGGGTAATATTGCAAACAACCATTTATATAAGGTCATATAACCTGTCAAGAATCTTTACAACTAATTTATCATACATCAAACTTACTTTTATTAGAGAAATTGTAAAATTTCTTTATAAAATTGACAGTGAGAATTTGTGTTGATTACCCAGTGAGAAACATTGTTACATACTTGCAGTAATAAAAGTAGAAATATAAATAGCATGTGTGCACAATCACAAATAAAAGGCATGGAATGATATATTATAGATAGTAACTTGTTATATGTTAACTTGAAACTAATATCTATACCTTTTTTCTGCATTGAAATTATAATATTAACACTATCATTTATTACATTGATAGGTCCCAAGTAGAAGCAGTAAACACAGCCATAGACGACTCTCAGCTAGACACAATTGAGCAGACGGAAATTATTGATGATAAACAGGAACAAAGGGAAGCAACTCTGGAAGAAAGTAATCAAGATGACTAAATTATCTGCCACAAAGAGGACAAACAGGAATAAAGGGAAACAACTCTGTTAGATAAAAGTTATCTGCTACATATATGAACAAAGGAAAACAACTCTGTTAGATATAAAGTTAAGACTGGCATATATTGAAGAAAGGGAAACAACTATGTTCGATAAAAGTCAAGATTGCACATATGAACAAAGGGATAAAACTCTGTTAGATAAAATTTAAGACTCCATAATATGAATGAAGGGGGACAACTCTGTAAGATATTAATATAATACCTGATAATTAGCTGAAGAAAAAAAACAAATAATCATCGTAGAGTAGTACATTTGACTGTACATTTAACTGTACATCTGGCTGTACATTTGACTGTACTTCAGGCTGTATATCTGACTGTACATTTGACTGTACATGACTCTGATGTGTATTATATCAAAAACCTTGTTTGAAAACTGAAGACACTGGTTTGAACACAAATTTTTTATTTGAAACTTTAACAAACTTTAACCAGGTATATCCATCATTTATTTATCCTCATACAAAATTTATGGTGTATAAAGTTCTAGAATTTTTCAGATTATTTTTTCTATAATTATAAATGCATATCTTGGCACATAGTTTCATAGAAGTGGCATTGTTTATTAAGCTAGAGTTAGGCAGTTAATGTTTTAGTTATGTTAAATTGTTGATATAGTTAGGCAATTTGTTAAATTTCTATTGTATAGGGCAATTTTCTACTTGTACTCTTCTACTTAATGCTAGGTTACTTATGTAGACAATTGGTAATGTTTTTCTTCAGTGATAAGTAAAGTTGTGTTCTTGCTCTTTGTTTTCTATTTAAACAAGCAGCAAGTTTATAGGAAAATTGTTATAAATTATTTATTTATTTATATATTTACATATCAAGATCATAAAACAATACAAAAATGTCAATACATACTACAATACTACGTTATAGCTGATCTTTCTTGTGCTTTTATTAGAATGGCATAAATTGTACAAGAATTGAGGACTTACAATCAACACCGACATAGTAATTAATGAACAGGAGCTTATTGATTGCATTTTCTTGCAAATCAGACTGGTTATTCTGTTAGTTTTACCCATGCTGGACGTTTCTTCTGGGGGTGGGTGGTGGGAAATAGTGTCACATGCTCTGAATGACATCTTTTCAGTGCATTTGAAGTATGAAATGATTTCTTAGATTGACGTCATTTTGCCATTATGAATGAAGTTGTAAATTCATACGCTACTATAAGAAAATTGATCAGGCACTAATTTCCATGACAAATAAACATATATAAGTAAACAAATTTTATTATGATAGAACATGCAAGAAATATTATCTAACATGTGATTGCAGCTTTGATCAGAATATTCATCCCTCGGGCACCTGCCCATCATGCCCATGGGAACGTACCATCGGGATTAGCATTCTAATCTGAACCACATAATATGAACACTATTTATATTAGCAAAGGTTAACATTTCCTTACCATGAAAATATTTATTGAAATGTTGACATTGAACAAAACAATACTTACTGGTAGTTACACTTGTATGCCCATTATTTGAAATTTATAGCAAAATTTGTAGTGTTAATTTTAAACATGGCCGAGTGGTTAAGGCATTTGACTAGTAATCTATGGATCTCTAGCTGTCTGAGTTCAAACCCTGTCAGGGGCAAGCTGTTGTTTTCTTGAGCAAGAAACTTTACACTGATTGCTCTGCACTGGTTGATTCCCGGATTAGATTTAATGAAAGGGTCTATAAGCTTACAGCTTCCTACACAAAATTCTGTATAAAGCAAAAAAAGGGGATGGTAAATGAAACTGGTTATGAATCAAGGACCAGGTCAAATGTAGGTAATCTAGCAGTCAATAACCTTGAGCTTTTCTTTTGCAATACTGATTAAATTTATTTTGAGGGTTTTGAAAGATTGAAATATGTATTTAAATTAAATAAAACATTCTAAAAAAGTTGATTTTTTATACTCAAAATGTGCACATAGCGATCAAAACTCATGCTTAACTTAGCCAAAAAATAGAGATTTTCTATATTCAAGCTAAAAATACAGATTTTCTATATTCAAGCTAAAAATAGAGATTTTATATATTCATGCTAAAAATAGAGATTTTCTATATTCAAGCTTAAAAAAAAAGAGATTTTCTAAATTCAAGCTGAAAAAAGAGATTTTCTAAATTCAAGCTAAAAATAGAGATTTTCTATATTCAAACTAAAAAATAGAGATTTTCTATATTCAAGCTAAAAATACAGATTTTCTATATTCAAGCTAAAAATAGAGATTTTATATATTCAAGCTAAAAATAGAGATTTTCTATATTCAAGCTTAAAAAAAAGAAGAGATTTTCTAAATTCAAGCTGAAAAAAGAGATTTTCTAAATTCAAGCTAAAAATAGAGATTTTCTATATTCAAACTAAAAAAAGAGATTTTCTATATTCAAGCTAAAGATAGAGATTTTCTAAAGTCAAGCTAAAAATAGAGATTTTCTATATTCAAGCTGAGCTATGCTTTCATCACTAAATACCCTCTCAGGTGTCATTGAAGATTTTTATGTTTTATATTCTAGTACATGTATAAAGTTGTGTTCACATTCTGTCAACATAATTATGTTCCTTTACATTTCTTTTTATGTTTCTCTTTATTTTATTTACAACATTTCATTTTGCTTTATTTATTATAACTGAGCAGTGATTGTAACACTTTTGTGTACGGTTGGTTTTGTATGAAATTATTATTTCCAGTACCCTGCTAGAAACCCGATTACCGAACAGTGCAGGTCACTTTCGTTGTGATTGATCATGAAATCCTTTCTACGGTCATTCGCACTGTACCTCTGCTCTGGCATGTACTGAAGTTTCAATTCTTTGTGAAAAGTTCATTTGAGAAATTCAGTAGGTGAAGGGTTCAAAATGAAAGATAAACTTTATATAATTATTTTGTTCAGTAAAAGAGTAAATAAAATTCTGTTTTTCAACATTCAAACATGATTATGCTATAGACGTACAAGAAGAAAATACTTTAATTGAATCAAAGACTAATTTCGAAAATCAATATTTTTTATTTATTTTTGTTTTGTTTTTGAAGCTAATATTTTATAACTTTAATTGCCTTATATAATTTTATAGTATTGATGGTTAATATTAAGTAAAACTTACTAAAAGCCTGAGAATGGTCAGAAATTAGTTACAGGTAATAATAATACTTGAAGTTAGTGTTTCTGTTATTTATTTATTATTGTTCATATTTTTTCTTTATACATGATCACATATGGTTTTAAAATTGTGAGTGAAATTTATATAAAAAAAATAATAAAATGTAATATGGCTTTGTATGACTTAATGATGCAATACAGTTTATGTGATATATTAATTATAGATTTATGTAAAATAATAATTTGTTTTGAGAAATAGAACTGACAAAGAGATGTAAATATCTTTATTAATGTTCACCTTGACACTAATGACTTTAATAATCATATTTTATTTAAAATTTGTTCTATATTTAGAAATTAACTTCGGCCTAGAATTTGATGTACATATTTTTTCTTCGTCATTTGAATTTTTTCGTATCTTAAATTGTTATATAATTGTTATTGTTTTGTAAATAAGGGATATATATATTGTATGTTTATCATTGATGTATATAGTTGTTACTGTGTGTTGTTTATTGTCAGTTTATTGTTCGTTTATTGTCAGTTAATTTACATATTTGAGCCACGTCACAACAAAACCAACATAGTGCGTTTGCGACCAGCATGGATCCAGACCAGTCTGCGCATCCGCGCAGTCTGATCAGGATCCATGCTGTTCGCTTACTAAAATCTATAACAAGTAGAGAAACTGATAGTGAACAGCATGGATCCTGATCAGAATGCGTGGATGTGCAGGCTGGTCTGAATCCATGCTGGTCGCAAACGCACTATGTTGGTTTTGTCGTGACGCGGCTCATTTCTCCTTCTTCCGGCCAAATCATACTTGTTCTATTTATAAAGCCTGGTATATCAAGTATTTGATCAGTATATTACCATATTTGTTATCATATACCCATCTCTGTTACAAGTGGTTTTTCTTATATCATATATTATGGCACTGATTCAGGTTTTTATTATTACACTCAGTCATCTCATACATATTATTGATCTTACAGTATATCTGTTCAAGGAAAGTTGCCAGAAAATTATTTCTTAAATCCTTTCCTACTAATACCTAGAATAAATTACTATAATCCAATTGTCTATGACGGGATCTTTCATATTCCATTTGAAAGACCCTGTGGCGATTAAATACATAACTGCTAAACTGTCATCAAGTGTGTACCAACGTATATTCAAATGTAAGAATAACAAATTTTCAGAAATGACAATTTTTTTTTTAAACAATTTCATGATAAAAAATAAAGGCAATTTTTTTTCTAATTGTTCATCATCATGCTATTATGACAATATTTGATATATGCAATCAAGTTAGTGAGTTATAAATAGAATTAAGTAATATCTATTTCAAGGTAACAGAACACAGTGTCATGTTTGGAACTTACTCTGATATAAAACAGAAATACTGTATTTGTCCATTCCCCACCCACCTAACTTATCATACTTACAAGTTTCTTATAGTTTGTTTTGCCCCTTTCCCCACCCACCTAGGTTAAAATACTTATAAAGTAAACACCCCACTTCTGCTGAGTCCAGCATATATAGTAAAAGTTGATATAAAAAAAAGACAGTTGCATGGATAGTCCAGTGAACTCCTTGTATACAGGGAGTTGTATGCAATTTATCAAAAGGTAATTTTGAACTGTTTAAACTTGTTTAGTTCTTCAGTTGAAGTTTTAATTTAGTGAGCTTTAATACTTATAATGATCATTCATTAAAAACTTATTTGAATATTAATATGGCACACACAGTGCTTGATACTTCAGTTGAAAAATAAATTGTAATACTTAACACCCATTGAGAATAGTACCCCTGGACCGTTTCCATTACCTCCCGATTTAAATCAATAGTTATTAATATTCTGGCTGTGGGACATAGGTATTTACTTCATACAAGTTTTGATATGTAATAGAAAAATTCTTGCACAAGAGAATTCTTTTTTTCTTTTTTTCCATGTTACGAACACACTTGTTTCATTGAACACATCTATTTTTGACAAGTTTTAAAGATACGTCTTATTGAAAATATTCTTATTACAATATTAAAATTTAGATTACAAACCTTATATTTGTCCCCAAGTATTATTTTTGGGTGTTATTTATGCATGTGTAATTTTACAATTTTTCTGAATCCTACTGTAAATAAGAATTTTCACACCCTCCATTTTCCTTCTAATGAATTTCCTTCATAACTGATTTTATGAAATTTTACAGGAGTAATGTAACAGATTCTTATACTTAGAAAAATTGAATACATCAATGCTGACGTGCATATATTTCTTACATGTTGGAAAACATTTCTTATATTTGCAAACTTTTGTCTCCAGAATACTTAATAAAAAAAGTATTTTTGTAGCAGTCATTTCTTTTTAAAAATGCATACAATTGTTATCTTAAAGCCACTGGATAAATAACCAGTATTACATCTGGCATTTCTCTTCACTTTTCATTATTTATTATATATTTGTCCATTACTAATTATATATTTGACAAAGTTTTATTCATAAGCAAATTTATTGTGCACCCCCATATTTTTTGCCAGTCATCCCATCCTATTCAATTTGTCACCAAAATTTTGACCAACCCACAATTTTTTATATATTGACAATATTTTTTAATGTAACTTTTTTGTATTTGTCTTGTTATTTATGCCTGTTTTGTCTTAAATTAACATTTTTTGTCAGATTGTTAAAGGCCCATTATCCTTCAGAAATGCTATCCATTTTATTTCTCAAAAATTATAAAAAGAAATACTTATTAGCCATATTATTCTTGAACTAAATCCTGCTTTTTTTTACTCTGTTGGCGATTGGTATAATTACAGTGAATTAGTATTTTGTATGGAAGTCAAAATACCACTTTGTTTACATTTTGCTACATTCACAACACATTACTGCACATTAAGCGCTACTTTCTTCAATTGTTAAACATCTAAGATGTCATTAAATCATTATTAAAACATTATTAAACACATGTTTGACTTTTCTAAAGAATTAAAAAAAAGATATATGCATTTCTGGGGCATAATGTGCCTTTAAATATTTATTACATATAGTTATATAGTAATCAGTGTATCTCTTCTACAACTATGGTAATTTATAGTAACAGGTACTTGTTATAGATTTAATGAAGGTATATAGACAAGGTGTGTGAAAAATATGTTCTAAGATATCATAAAAAAAGTAAAATTTAAATCAAAGATTACCAACATTGACAGAATGGTGGGAGTTAGATTTTCTTATATTTCCATGGTTTCTAGAGCAAATTTTTTTAGATTTCCGTGGTCTCTAGAGTTAAATTTTCTTGCATTTCCATGTTTTTTATCTTGCCTGAATCATTCTTTTTCAAGGTAGGAAAACCATTGTTTGGCTTTATGGGGGTCAAGAGTTAACAATGTATGAACTGGTTATACGAAATGTTCCAGACTGCCCAACCGTGAAGTCAAACCAGGCTTTATACTGTTGACTGGTTAACTTTAATCTTTCATCTTGATATCCTAAAATTGATAATGGACAGTTCATTTAATGAAAGCTGAATAAGTTTGTTTAGAAATTCAGCATGTTTAGGGTTGGTCGTATAAACAAACTTTATAAATTCATTCTTATATTCTGACATATTTTACATATTGTATGGCTGGAATTTCAGTATAAACTTCCTCTGATAGAGAAATAAACTAAATACTTTTCTCACACCATGTTTGTATAAGACATTTATAGCTACATGTTGAAAACAAAAGTCTGTAACAAATTGTAAATTAAATGAACAAAAAAGAATGGAGAACTTGTTAAAATTTACCAGTGATAGTTTTGTACCAAGTAGTAGATATGTAAGTAACTCTATTGCATTTGGAAGTTAAGTTTATGTTTATAAAATATTTAATAAGAAATTGAAATATTTTTCTAAGATTTAAGCATAAAATTTAGATGGTCTAAAATAAATTTCTATTTATCAAAGGTATGGAAAAATGTCCGAATTGAGGGTGGTATATTAATTAGCAAATCATATAAATTTATAATAAACAAATAAGCTTAAAAAAAAGGGAATTTAGAATTATATTTATATTGTTATATAGCTTTTAGTTTACATTAAAAGAACAAATGACCAGCATTTTCAATTTGTCATATCACATACATTAGATAGGTAACTGAAAAAGAAAAATACTGAAAAATACTAGAAAATATTAGTAAAAATGTTAATGAAATTCATTTAACATGGGATATATTGGATTCCTGTAATGTTAAACTATGATGATATCAATTAATTCATGAAGGAATAAAATATAGCAGTGAGATATGAATTTTATCACTCACTGTATATCACTCATGGACAGAAATGAGTTTGTTTTTTTT